TATTATGATAAAATATTATAATAAACTTTTAAAATAAATAACAATAAATCTTTTTCACGTTTAAATTGGTGTCTAAAATTTCGATTTACGCAAATTTATACAAGAATTATAAAAGGTCATTTATCAGAAAGTTTAAAGGGACGTTATGGGTCAAAATAAACAAATATCATCTATATTATAAGCATACCAGTCTATATAATCAATCATAAATTTCAATTATCAAACATAAATTAGATACATGAACTCAAATAAAAAATAAAAATAAACTATAATATTTATGATAAATATTGTTGATTGAGATAGAGAAAAAAAAGAAACACTATACGAATTTAATAAAATAAATTATAATATTTATGATAAATATTATTGATTGAGATACATAAAAAAGAGAAACACAATACGAATTTAATAAAATAAACTATAATATTTATGATAAACATTATTGAACGATATAAAGAAAAAAGAGGAACACAGTAACAACACAAGAAATTAATATAAAAAATTTAAAACTGGAGAAAACTCATGACTGTTATCAAATAACAAATAGAAAATAATATTATGTATAAATTGTTACAGCACATGGACTACCTACAACCACCCTAAGGCTCTAATATGTCCACACTCTCCAAAGAAATTATTTAGCTACCTCTCACAACACTTTAAAACAAGAGTAAAAGAGAAAATATAAAACATCAATTACAAACTTAAAGTGCTTTTGACCGACATCTTGTAACGAATAACTTGAGTCTTATATATAGCTTTGAATTTCTTCTTTTAAAAATTTTTTAACAACAACAAGCTAATATATTACAACTTTCTTGTGTAAGATTAGATGTTCCTTCCGGCTCCGGAGTTGTGTTCACTTGATCTATTTTACCTATTACAAAGGAAATATATTTCACATGTTAAGAAACACTAATAGATATTATCATCATAATTTTAAATTGTAATAACAAACATGTGAAACTTAAAACATATAAAACATGTAACTTAATTCTTGGTAATGCTGAACTTTTAAATTGTAATAAGAAGAATCCTTTAGACCACTTCTTGATACATACAGAGATGTAATAGCTTACAACACAGATAACATATCGCTTTTAAATTGTAATAATTTTAACATGTCATATTCTTGATAATTTATCATGTTTGCAACTGGAATAAAACTGCCTATAATAATGTTTGTCTACTAACTTTCAGCATGCTTGCATGCGCGTTAAATATCATGTTTTTGAACTGTCTAGAAACATAAGCACAACACTAAAAGAATTGTCTAATATTAAAAGCATTAGTGCAAATTAGTCGGGGCAACAATGGTGGAAGATAGAAACAATAATACTCACCATGTTAACATATAGAAACAACAACTTCTAATCTTCAAAATGGTAACCCAAACAACCTTCCATCAACTCAGCTGTATTAACAAATAAATTGATGTTAAATAAAACACTAAAGCTTAAAACTTCTACACCAAATGAAGTACAAAATACCTTCATCGTCTGACTCCATTTCATTCAACACAGTAGCAATTTCTTCTGCAACTCTAAAAATTCCTATATATATTATATAACAAGAAAAATTAGTAATATATTATTTGCCAATGACATACCAAAGTAGTAATACATTATATAACAAAAAAATTAAGGTAGAAAGTAAAAATAATTTGACAATGACATACCGTTATTCTCAGCAGCCCATAGCCAACTCCTAGCACACATCAAAGCCTCTACGGTAGTCCAGTTAAGTCGGCTATGATGAGGACTCAATATTCTACCACTATTACTGAAGGTCGATTCAGAAGCTACTGTAGAGATAGGAATAGCTAACACATCTCTTGCAATTGCTTGAAGTGTTGGATACACAACTCCATTTACCTTCCACCAATTCAAAATGTCAAATTCTGGAGTATTTTTTATAACTGGCTCTTTCAAATAATGATCTAACTCATACTTAACACTTGAACTTGAGTCTTCGGCAACGGCAATTGTCTCAACGTATGCATCAAATTCAGCCTCGTCATCAATAATAGCAGTTGTACCAATGGATGGAGCAGTAGGTTGTGCATCTCTAAGTTTAATCTGTTGATAATCATTGAGCAAATCATAACACATGTCTTTGATTCTACTAACTTGTGCATTTGATTCTTCTCCATACAACTTAGGAAACCAGAAATTAAGTACAACCATCTTCTTCCTAGGATCCAAAACTGCAACAACTCCCATCATATCATGAACACCACTCCAATAATTTTGAAATTTTTTCATCATTCTTGTGGCCATCATCTCAATAATTGAATTGGAGGACTTCTTCCATTCCTCTATTTCCAACTTAATCTTACAAATCTTAGGAAAGTACAAGTTGGCAGTTGGATATTTTGTACCAGAAATCAACTCAGTTACTTCATTAAATAATTTTAAGCACCCACAAACATCTTTAGCAAATTGCCATTGTGAATTAGTTGGAAGACAAGTGTACAAAGACTCACGTTGCTTCAACCGAATAAATACATCCTTGTACTCTATGGCAATATCAAGCATCTTATATGTGCTATTCCATCTTGTTGGACAATCTAGAGCTAACTTTCTAGTGCAAATAATTCTCAATTGTCTAGCGGTATCTTCAAATTTTTCATACCTTTTAGGTGTAGCACTCCAAAATCCTACACTATCCCGAATATTTTCTATGCCATCCTTAATCACTTGTAGCCCCTCCTGAACAATTAAATTTAGGATGTGCGCACAACAACGCATATGTAACAAAGACTCATCCCTTATTAAACATTCCAACGATAACTTATCCTTAATTTTCCTAATCATTGAGTCATTTGTGCTACAATTATCTAAAATAATCGTAGAAAACTTTGAATCAATGTTCCAGTCCATTAAACAATTAACAAGTGCTTCAGCAAGTCTTTCACTAGTGTGAGGGGCTGGAACATAAATGAACCTAACATAATATTTACAAAAAACAAGTCTTTCACTTATTGTCATTAAGAACAAAAAAAAGATACAATTAAGTTATAAAATATAAACATTGTTACCTCAAGATTCGACTCTGTAAAGTCCATGAGCCATCAATATAGTGAGCCGTAACCTCCATATACCCTTTTTTTTGTTGCTTGAAGTCCACATATCTGTGGTAATTGCCACTCTCCCTTCATGGTTATCTAACATCTTCATAGCACATTTTTTCTCAAAATCATAAACTTTCAATACCTCCTTCTTGATTGTGTTTCGAGTAGGAACTTTAAACAATGGTTGGAGAGAAACAAAGACTCTTCTAAGACCAATGTGATCCACAATTGATAGTGGATAATCGTGCATAATAATAGCTTCAGCAATCAACTTCTTCACATGTTCTGGATCATAAGTTCCAATTCCCAACTCTTGCTTTCCTTCTGAGATAGTCGGTAGGAGAAATGGTTGTCCTTTGTCATGGTTTCTAGTCTTGATCTTTTTTTGAATACAACTCAAGAGATGTCCTTTCAAGTGATTTGTTCCATTCTTTGAAGTGTCACTAAGTTGTTTTTTACACCAGATGCATTCAGCCTTATCTTTTCCATTCACTTTCATCTTTTTAAATTCTTGCCACACATTACTTCTAAGTTTCTTTGATGCTGGTTCTAAAATTGTATCAATTTCTTCTTGTTGCCCAATATCAGTTTCAGGTGTCGGATTCGGATTAGAAGATACCTCCTGAGTTGGACATGTACTTTTTTGTGTAGGATTAGATGCTCCTTCTGGTTCCGGGGTTGTGTTCACTTGATCCATTTTACCTACTACAAACAACAAGAAATTTCATAAACAATTGTATAAAAGAAAATGAGACTTTAAGAAGGCACGAAAAAACATACCACCACAATATTCATAATCGCAAACACCTTAACATTCATACAAAGTTTAAAAAAGAAATTAAAATGATAAAAACTATTATTGATAAAAGCTATTATTAAAAGTAATGTTTTTACACGAGACAACATGGTTTTGTTTCAAATATGAAGTTATATCTCTCTTTTTCAACTGTCAAAGATTCACAGTCCAGCAGCAATGGGCTATGATCCGAGTGCGACGCGAGGAGATTCCACAGCTTTGCATTTGAAAACCGACTACCGCTTGACAGAATCCATTACAATCGCTTACCGCTTGACAGAAACCTGGTGCCATCTCAATTGCTAGACAACTTAAACTACCACTGGCCAGTTCACTATTGCTTGTATAACTCAGATATATTTTACATCAACAAAACATTAATAACTTCTCAAAACCTCAACTGCCACACGTTCTATGTTTCACATGTTCAACTGATTAATAGCAATCAATAACTGGAGTCTACCGACCTCAAAACCTCATATATAGTAAATTTTGTAAAAGAATTGTCTAAGTTTTTTAAATTATACAACTTTTACTAAAATATAAAACAAAATCAAAATCTCCACATGCAGTACAGTTTCGAGTATATATCTAAACATCACGTTATTAAAGGAAATAATATGTTTGACTAACAACCTAAACCAAAATACTAGTAAACACATTCACACATATGAAACATCACACACTTTCGGTATATATCTACAGTTTCTTCTTTGAAATATTCTTTTCCTAGTAAGTCCAAACAATGGCCAACACTTATCCTCATGAAAGTGCAAAGCTTCTTGGTATATTGGCAGTGCATGGACAAGTAGTAGACAATAAAACAACACTCTTTCAATCAAACTCCCTTGTACATCATGTGCAAACTATGCACTATACTTTTGGGACTGTTTTTAATATTCTCAAGCACTGCATCACCTTGCCACTTAGAGCAGAAACTTTAGACTTCTACCAAACATCTATAGATAAGGACAAATATAGTGGCTCTACCACTCCCTATAAAAACAAAATTAACAAATAACAAGTGGTTCTTTTACGTTCTATAAAGTGTTTCATCTTACAACTTAGTATCACGCACAATTCTAATTAACTTTTTTAATTCAACAAATTAATCTCCACAAGCTTCAACTGATGGAGTCTGTCTCTAACAAACATGTTTTTGGCTTTATGTTTTGTCTGGTCTTTCTTACCTCCCTTGTGTACTCTCAACTTAATTGCAACTTCTATGACAGAACTTGTCCAAGCCTTACCAGAATTGTTAGATCCAATATCTTGTCAGCTATAGCCAATGACTCAAGAATTGCAGCGTCTCTCTTGCGCCTTCACTTCCATGATTGTTTTGTCAATGTAACTAACCTCTCAAAATTTTAGTCCTTATATTTTGGTTACTTACTAGAAAGAGTTGAATCATCAACGAAATTTATATTATTATCGTCACCTGTTTAACTTGTTTCATTTTTGTGTGCTACTTAGGGATGCGATGGATCAGTACTACTCGATGATACAGACACTCTAAAAGGAGAGAAAAATGCATTGCCTAATCAAAATTCGTTAAGAGGATTCGATGTAATAGACAAAATAAAGTCTGATTTAGAGAGTGCTTGTCCATCCACAGTTTCATGTGCTGATATACTTACTCTAGCAGCAAGAGATGCTATATATCTAGTAAGAACTCACTAATACTTTAACTATTATTTTAATTATTGCATGTTTGATTATGACTTCGAAACATTTTTCTTTACTTTCAGAGTAAAGGGCCATTTTGGGCTGTACCTCTCGGTCGTAGAGATAGCACAACAGCGAATGAAAGTGAAGCAAATAACTTGCCATCACCCTTTGAGCCTCTTGAAAACATTACTGCTAAGTTTGTTTCCAAAGGGCTTGAAAAGAAGGATGTAGCAGTGCTCTCAGGTGCACACACATTTGGCTTTGCTCAATGTGTTTTATTCAAGTCAAGACTCTTCGACTTTGGTGGCTCTGGTAAACCCGATCCATCACTTGATTCGTCGCTTCTACAAAATTATACAACACTACTAATCCTGCTCTCATAGACCCAACTAAATACAAAGTCATCATAGGTAAACTTCTCTACCTTACGCACTCATGACCTGACATTGTCTACTCTGTTCGCAGGCCCAGTCAACACATGACTGCTCCCACTCAATGTCATCTCCAAGCAACATACATAGTCATTTGTCACCTAAAAAACGCTCAATCCATGGGATTATTATTTCACTCAAAGTCTCCATTAGTTCTCATGGGATTCACATATTTAGATTAGGGAGCTTGTCCCCTCACCAGAAGGTCCACAACAAGCTTCACGTTCTTCCTCGGTGACAACCTCGTTGATGCTTAAAAAACTCCTTCAAGCAAATACATCTACAAATGAATTATTTGACTAATTGAAATAATATTACATGGAATCTGAGGTAAATATACTTGAATCCCCTGTCATATGATCAATGGCACCGAAATCAGTAGAATTATCTATTTGGAAAATGTGATTGCAGAAGATATAAATGGCCTGACAAATTTGAAACTTTAAAATACTAGCAAAATGAGAACCAAACGATAGAATGTTATGTTTGATTAACAAAATAGAAAAGAACAGTCTATGATGTTAGATAATTATTTTGAATGATAATTCAATCAGGCCAGTTGTAAAGAGTATGGGCAAGAATTTAGAGCAGCAGTACAAGAAGAGAGAGCTGCTACTACTAGAGATTTGCTTAAATCCAAACGGCAGGAGATGGATTCAGTTCAATCCACCATGAATAGATTAAATAATGCAATTTCTGTAGGGGATATCGATAGCAAGGTATGCATTCATTTTGTTATTCCTGAGATATTTACCAGGATTTGATTCTTATGTCTGTTTTGTTGTGTTAACTTCTCTAGATTTATAATTTGGTTTCAAATTAGAAACATGGAACACATGATTCAGCATGAAACTCTGCCTCTAAAAGAAGAAAAGCAATTGATAAGGGTTTATTCTCCAATTAAAAGTTGATTCAACAATAAAAATAAACCGGCTGCCCCATAGTTTCTTGGTCATATTCTATGCAAATGAACACGGAATAGACGTCTACTTTGTAACACCCTCTAAAACCCCGCATATAATTTTCGCAAATATTAAAAAATTATAAACTCAGAGTACATGTAATAATCGAGGAATGCTACAATTCTCTTTTAATAAAATAAATTCCTGTCATGCATAATTTTAGTGGTAACTCGTACATGTCTACACAGCGGAATAATTTATTTAATAAAATCAAATGTTATAATAATTTCCAAGTCATCAGGGATTAACACCTGGAAAGTCAACATTATATCATAACAAATAAAAAAGGAATAAACGAGTCTGACTAAAGCAGCTCGACAACCAAACGTTCCCGGAGTTACAACTATCAGAGCATGACCCGGACATACTAAAACGAAACTAAACTAGACACGATAAGCCTTCGCCAAGCACCTGAGCGAAGCTCCTCAATCTGAAATATTCAACAGTAAGGGTGAGCTTCTCAAATATACATTTGGTTATGCATTCATAACAATCAATTCACGAAATCATAAGCATCACCCAATAATTAGCATATTTCATAGTTTACAAAACCTTTACAATTCATATATCCATGACATATTGCCTTTCATATTTGCAAATATTCATCAAACATCATCAACCATTTATCAATCATACGTGCATACAACAATCAAATATAGCATTGGAAAAATCATCCATTCATGTTATATTCGAGTAATGCAACACACCCATGCATGTGGTACCACTTCACCGCCCCATTAAATCGCGGGTCACGGATAACTCACCGTTCCATTATATCGCGGACACGGCTACCACCTCAACGTTCCATTAAATCGCGGACACGTATATTGGCCACCATGTTAATTCCACACAATGGGAATTAACAAATGCAACATGATATGTAAGTATGTAACACTCAGCATACTATGAACATCGATCAACATATCATGCACATCAACAATATCAAACATAACATGATATGAAATAGCATGTAACCACTCAGCATACCATTTAAACATCAATCATATCACATCAATTATATCATATCTCATGCTCGATAACATAACTAAAAGCATGGCAATAAAAATCCAACGTCAAAACACTGGAATCAAAAATTCAGAAACTCATCACAGCAGAGCAACACGGGCACCCGTGTTGTGCAACACGGCCCGTGTTGTGCAGAACGTCCAGAAAAATGCACATTTTAATTTTATCAGTACAGGGGCTCTGACACGGGTACCCGTGTTGTGCAACACGGCCCGTGTCGTGCAATCAGGAGCACACCCCTTCCAACTCAGAGGAGCAACACGGCCACCCGTGTTGTGCAACACGGCCCGTGTTGCTGAGCGCGCACAGGATTTTCCTGAACCTGTAGCAGCTCAGAAAACAGCAGTCCAAACGCGGGAAAACGTCCGCCAAAACGCGCATTTCAGCACCTAACGCATCGAGTTTGTACAATTCACAACAACATCACAATATCCAAGTTACCAACGATTATCATAATAACCTTAATCGGAAACTAACCGTCCTTTTGGGGAATTCTACTGACACTGAGGTTATCCCTACAACTTCCAAGGTAAATTCACGATCATGATATATACTCCCAATTCCTCATTTGGGACCTAAAACTCTTAATCGATTCATAAAAATTGGGAACCTAACCCTTTTCTAACAAGGTTCAGTCCTACAGTTATCGATCCCTAGAAACATCTAACAATTGGGATTTCCTACGATTACCCGAATCAACCGTACATAAACCCATAAACAAATATAAATCGAGTATAAACCCCCCTTACCTTATCAATTAACAGCTTTGAGTTCTTGGGCGATGTTCTTCGTTCTCCGTTCTTCAGAGCTCTCTTTTCCCAAATTCCAACTTCCGTTCTTACGTGAAAACCAAAAATGAGAAAATGGCCTAAGTCCCAAACATAACTTTATTTCTCTGCACCCCCACTCTTTACTAACAACATCAAGCCCAATAACATAAAAATTCTAATATTCCTTATTTCTTTTATTTTCCTCAAATACTCCAAAATAAATAATTCTTTTTATTTTATTAATTCTAATAAAATAAATTCCCAAATTCCAATAAATCAATTAATTGAAAACGGGGTGTTACAACTCTCCCCCACTAAAAGAGTTTTCGTCCTCGAAAACATACCTTAGACGAACAGCTCCGGATAAGCCTCTTTCATCTGGCTCTCCAGCTCCCAAGTGATATTTCCATCTGCTGGACCTCCCCAAGCAACCTTCACCAATGCTATCTCTTTACCTCTTAACTGTTTCACTTCCCGATCTTCTATCCTCATAGGCAATGCTTCTACTGTCAGGTTATCTCTTACCTGTACATCATCTATTTGGATTACATGAGATGGGTCTGGAATGTATCTCCTCAACTGAGAAACATGAAAAACATCGTGCAAATTCGCAAGTCTCGGAGGTAAAGCAATGCGATAAGCAACTTCTCCAACTCTTTCCGTAATCTGAAACGGACCAATAAAACGCGGAGTCAACTTCTTAGACTTCAACGCCCGACCAATACCCGTCATCGGAGTAACTCTCATAAACACATGATCTCCAGCACTGAATTCTAAATTCTTTCTCCTCTTATCATGATAACTTTTCTGACGACTCTGAGAAGCTCTCATCTTTTCTTGAATCAATTTGATCTTTTCAGTAGTCTGCTGAACAATCTCTGGCCCAACTACCGAACTCTCTCCAGATTCATACCAACACAAAGGTGTTCTACACCGTCTACCATACAATGCCTCAAACGGAGCCATACCAATACTCGAATGGTAACTATTGTTATAAGTAAATTCAATCAATGGCAAATAGCTATCCCAAGCTCCACCCTGCTCTAAAACACAAGCACGCAATAAATCTTCTAATGATTGAATCGTCCTCTCCGTCTGTCCATTAGTCTGAGGATGGTAAGCTGAACTCAATCTCAACTTAGTACCCAAAGCCTTCTGCAATCCTTCCCAAAATTTCGAAGTGAACCTCAGATCTCTATCTGACACAATACTAGAAGGAACTCCATGCAAACTCACTATTTTCTCAATATATAACTGTGCCAATCTCTCCATCGAGTAATCCATTCGCACCGGTATAAAATGAGCAGACTTAGTCAACCTATCCACAACGACCCATATCGCTTCACAATTCATAGGAGTCCTTGGCAACCCAGATACGAAATCCATAGAAATACTATCCCACTTCCATTCTGGAATAAACATTGGTTGCATAAATCCAGACGGCTTCTGATGCTCAATCTTCGATTTCTGACAGATTAAACATGCATACACAAATTCAGCTATTTCCTTTTTCATTCCCGGCCACCAAAACAATTTCTTCAAATCATGATACATTTTCGTGGCACCCGGATGAATACTCATCCCACTGCGATGTCCTTCCTCTAATATACTTTTCTTGATTTCTGCGACATCAGGAACACAAACTCTATCGCCAAATCTCATAACATCATTTTCATCAATCCTAAACTCACCACCTTGACCTTGGTTGATCAATGTCAATTTATCAACTAAATTAACATCGGATTTCTGCCCGATTCTGATCTCTTCTAGAATACCACTAGTAAGTTTCAACATACCCAAACGAACACACTTCGGAGTACTTTCACAAACTAAACTCAAATCTCGGAATTGTTCAATTAAATCCAATTCACGAACCATCATCATAGACATATGCAAGGATTTCCTGCTCAAAGCATCTGCAACCACATTTGCCTTACCAGGATGGTAATTCAATCCAAAATCATAATCTTTGAGAAATTCCAACCACCTTCTTTGCCTCATATTGAGCTCTTTCTGATCGAAAAGATACTTCAAACTCTTATGATCGCTATACACTTCAAATCTCGAACCATACAGATAATGCCTCCACAATTTCAAGACAAACACAACTGCTGCCAGTTCTAAGTCATGAGTAGGATAGTTCCTTTCATGAACCTTCAACTGTCTCGAAGCATACGCAACTACCTGTTGATTCTGCATTAAAACACCACCTAAACCCAACAGAGATGCATCACAATAGACCACAAAAGATTCCACCGGATTCGGCAAAATCAGAATAGGAGCACTTGTCAAT